TGGAACTGTGATTCCACTTTGACCCTGTACCTCCACTTAGCGTCTTTCTTTGCTCGTCTCAGTCTGTAAGACGCCGCTTTGTATTCCTCCGTCCTGCCGGTGAGAAGTGACGAGTTGTATGAAGCGGTCCGTTCGTTAGATTTATCCACCCATGGCTTCTGGTTCGGGAAAATCCGGGCAGACACCATGGGAACGGCGTCGTCTACCAGCGTTGCTATGAAGTCCGTCACAACTTCCGTTAAGTCGTCTACGTCACTCGAGCTGGATTGGAACATGCCCCAGTCGACGTCATCCAGAGCGTCTTGCAGCGTAGCCTCTGATTGGTCGTTCCAGCGCCTAACCTGCCTCGTCACCACCTTTTCATGTACAATCGTCTGTTTGTACCTTGGCAAAAGGTAAATGGCAGAATGGTCTGATTTACCCAGTGGGGGCAGGGAAATCACCTTGTAGCCCTCTTTGAATGGCGTGTAGCAGTGATCCAGTGTATTGTTGCCCCTAGTGGAGCAAGTGACGTGTTGGAAAAAGTTCGGCATAACTTTCTTCAGGTTCGCCTTGTTAAAATCCCCAGCGATGAGGGCAGCGTTCGGATGTTTGTTTTGGTGCCGGCACAGCACGGTCAGCAGGTCCGATAAACTGTGTCCGTGTCCGCTTGTGGTGGAATGTAAACAGATGTAGTGATGACCGAAGTGAATTCCCGGGGGAGGTGAATGGACGGCATAGGATGGTTATGTGCTCCAGATGTGTCGAGCAGGAGTTGGAGAGAGTTTTAATGTTTTGTGGGTTACACCAGCTGTTGGTCATAAAACAAACCCCTCCACCCTTTGACTTGCTAGATTCCTCCGTCCTGTCCTTGCGAAACACAGAGAACGAATCCGATGGCATGATGGCTTGATCCGGCACCACAGGAGTCCGTCAGGCAGATGATGTTACAGTCCCTCATGTCCCGTTGATACCGACCGCTCAGATCATCCATCTTGTTATCCAGGGACTGGACGTTGGCAAGAAGGATGCTTGGCATGGGTGGGCGGTGGGCCTGAGTTCTTAGCCTGTTTCGGACACCACCTCGTCTTCCGTGGTGCTTTTTCCTCCTCCGGCCATTGTTCCCGTCCTGTGTTGTGTTACGCAGGAGTTCGACCGGCAACCACTGATCATGGTTGGAAACTGTGTTTGTGACCAGTCTCTTTATGTCCAAAAGCGTATTTCGGTCATAAGTTATCTTTGCTGAAAGAGCTGATGTAAAAAAGTTCACAGAAACAACATAAATAAAAATAAAAAAAACACAGCCTCAGCGGAGTAACCCCGACGGCGTCTGGACACGGCTGCGCCATCTTGGAATTGGTGTTGTCTTTGGTTGTGGTGCCTTAATTTGGTTGTGTTGTCTTTGGTTGTGTTGTCTTGATTTGGTTATGTTGTCCTGATTTGGTTTTGTTGTCTTGATTTGGTTGTGTTGTCTTTTGTTGTGGTGTCTTGATTTGGTTGTGTTATCTTTGTTTGGTTGGCTGACTTTCTTGATGGTTATTTTCTGCAGCAGTTGTTTTCTTAAAGCTCCTGGGAGGATTGTTTTGGTTGGTTATGGAGCTCACTTAAACTTAGACTGATATCTTTAAATGGTTTACAAAAGCAAACAAGACCTTAAGATAGAAGATATTATTTGTATGAGCATGCAATATCACTGCAACTTAAATCACACTATGTTTAAGTTATAAATAGTGTGATTGAAGTTGCAGTGATATTGCATGCTCATACATAATGTGATTATAGTTGACGTTGCAGTGATATTGCGTGCTCATACATAGTGTGAATATAGTTGAAGTTGCAGTGATATTGCATGCTCATACATAGTGTGATTATAGTTGAAGTTGCAGGGATATTGCATGCTCATACATAGTGTGATTATAGTTGAAGTTGCAGTGATATTGCATGCTCATACATAATGTGATTATAGTTGACGTTGCAGTGATATTGCGTGCTCATACATAGTGTGAATATAGTTGAAGTTGCAGTGATATTGCATGCTCATACATAGTGTGATTATAGTTGAAGTTGCAGGGATATTGCATGCTCATACATAGTGTGATTATAGTTGAAGTTGCAGTGATATTGCATGCTCATACATAGTGTGAATATAGTTGAAGTTGCAGTGATATTGCATGCTCATACATAGTGTGAATATAGTTGAAGTTGCAGTGATATTGTATGCTCATACCAAGGGGCAACCTCCGGTCTCGAAAAATGAAGCCAATGCGGAAGTACAAAAAACTGCAGTTCCTCGAGGTTCTGCTTGAGGCTGGCAGCAGAAACGCCGGAAGTGCCATAAGCCCACAGCCAAAAAAGCAAAATGTTTACAGCCTGGTTCAAAAAACGAGATATATCTGATAAGTTGACGGCCCCTTCTCCTCACACTGTGGGGGGGTGAATTTTTTTATAACTCATCGGATTTTGTCCTATTAAGGAAAACGACTATGCCCATATAAGGGTTGTGGCAGATTTGATTGACAGCTCTGCGCGGTCAGCAGGTCAGGCGGCTAATAGCTTGATCCGTCTGATTTTTCCTCTTTCTTACTTAGTTTGGAGAGTTTGTTTAACACATATCTGACAACATACATGGCTTGCTGTGCGGTTAACAGACCAGCCAAGAAGTTGATACTTCAGTTTTCTTTGGTAAGTGATATAGTAGTGTTATATTTACTGCATACTAATGTGTCGGTATTTATATTTACGGACCTAGCTTGTTTAGCGTTAGCTTGTAAACCAGTCGGCTGACTGTACTGAGTGTAGTCCATTATTTACGGTCAATGGTTTAGAAATGTTTGTTGTTAAGATGTTGTTGTTGAAAATAATGAGTTTGTGTGATGTTAGAAGCTAAAGGTTCACCTCTGTGGTTAACCACAGACTGTAAATATGGTTATCTGACGTTATGATGAATGTTATACTCCACGTAAATGTGGACATTAAAAAACAAACTTTGTGTAGTAATTATCCGTCAGTAACATAAACTAAACTGAACCTAATATGCTGTGCAGGTTATAGAGGATGACATCAACGTTACATGGTTGATGTAGTGTCTTAAGATTTGAGCAAACTGTTAACAAATAAAAACAAAAAATGCACTTTGTAAGAGCATCTGTAACCATTAAGAACTATATTAATAACCATATTAATTTTCACTGAACTCATACACAGAATATAGCAGTAGAAATATAAAATATAAATAACATATGGAATGAAAATAAGATATAAAGCACATAGATATAAAGTATAAGAAATAGTTTGAAGAATACAGCCATGTACTGAGCTCATAAGTGAGCTACTGTATGTTCTGTACTAAAGCACAGAGAGTTGGGACCTGTTAATGATTTAAATAATTCAGGTTATATTTGTTTCATGTTAAGATGAAGTACTATCCACGATAAACTGCTTAATTTTTCCTCACAAAATCTGAGACCATTTGATGTGGAATATCATTGTGCAAGTGAGTGAGAGAGCTGAAAACAGCATGATTACAATAAGGTTTATCTTCTTAACTTTGAATAGATGTTGATTACCTGAATACTGTACCTTTGTTGTCTGGGTAGTACACTGTTGGATTTATAAATGTACTCTTACACACAGATGAATACAGAAAAATAGATGAGAACAAAAAAAATGATTTAATGAATAACTGCTATTTTCTCTTTCTTAGGCATCCTGAAGACCCCTCACTAAAAGTCCACGTTCTCCTGGATCCATGTCACATGCTCGAGCTTCTTCAGAATGACATTTCAACAGTTCAAGTTCTGGTGAGAGAAGATGGCCAGCAGATAAGACGGCAGTACATCAAGGAGCTCCACAGGCTTCAGAAGGAGGAGGAGGGTTTGCACCTTGGAAGACTTTATTCATGCTGTTCAAATAAAAATAGATCTCCTCCAAACAACTTGCAATCAAACCATTTTCTTCCCATTCTAAAACCCTTTGTCCAGTTTAGATGGGAGAAGTTGATATTATGTGATATTGATCTGGGAAGACTACATTTCTAAATAATTTTTAACTGTGTTTTTATTCAAAAGTTATTGATCTTATTTACTCTCCATGTATCTTGATTTAAGAATGGGGCTGTGTTTAAGGGCACATTTTTGCAATGACTCTGTTCCATCCCATTTTCAGAAATGAACTGAATTAGTATTTGGTAAAAAAAAGAGCTAAGAGGAGCTACACTGAGAAGCTAAAACAAAGCTTCTCAGCTAACGACCAGAAGTCTGGAAAGGCCTGTGAGAGGTCAGAAATTACAGGAGACCCACCCCCAACCCTGCAGGTCACAATAGACTGGCTGAAGACCTGAACAGCTTCTACTGCAGGTTTTCACTATCCAGACAGAGACGAGTCTGCTTACAGACGGGAGGTGGAACAGCTGGCTCTCTGGTGCAGTCAAAACCATCTGGAGCCGAACCCTCTCAAGACTGTGGAGATGACAGTGGACTTGAGAGAAAACATTCTGATAAACAGTCACAGTGTCAGACCTGTCAAAAAACCCTAGAACCAAACTTCACTGTGAATGTACAAATACGTGTATATATATATATATATATATATAAATAATTGAATTTAAATGATCAATCTATGCACACCTGTAAATACTGTAAAACTCTAATTCATGTAAATAAAGCCACCTGTCACATAATGACATGTTTTTATTATCATGTTTACATGTTTGTACATATTAGTCTTTATTTATTTGTGTTTATTTTGTGTTGTACTTTTGTACATAAGAGAGCACAGTTCACTAAATGTAAATTCATTGTGTGTGTAAGCTTACCCAGCCAATAAAGCTGATTGTGATTCTCACTCGCATGAAGGTGATTTCACGTCAAAAAGAGGGATGTTGCCAAAAGACGCGAGTCCGAGACTACATTGGAAAGCAGTTGCCAATAATGACAGTGAAAAGAAAGCTCAACAAAGACCGTTTTTCACCTGCTGCAATATCGTCCACTAGGTTGTCAAACACATGACCCTCAAGCCAGATATACTGTACTAGAAATGTTTTATTTTTTTCTCATGATTTAAAAAGTGTACTTTCATACTGGTGTCAAGAGTATGCACCCCAAATTTCCCACAATACAAAGGAAAAAAAGTCAAATTACAATTACAAAGTATTTACAGAAAAAAGGGCATGGTGACGAAATAGTACAACAGAAACAAACTTAGTCACACAATGTAGTTTAAATGAGGCTTTGGTAAATAAAGAAACCCTCTACTGTCTCGGTGCTCTGATCTTTAGATCCTATTTCCACTCCAAAAATAACATCGGCATCCCGTCCACACTCCAACATCAAGGTGTTATCAGAGTGTGCTGTCAAAAAGGATTTCTATAAAAACTGTAAAACTTACTCAGCCAACATGGAAAAATAAACAGTCGTTACTTTGAACCCATGACCTACAGGTTATTTCATGTTATGTGATTCTTTACTGTTTAGGAGGAGGCTTCAGACGAGCTCGGAGCTTTCTGCTCCTTCCTTCACTCTATATTGTCTATCTTTGTTATTGGTGGATTTGTTTTCTGTGCAAAAATAAAAATAAACTAAAAAAAAAAGCGTTACAAGGGAAAACAAGAAGCGTGAATCGGATGGTGGACGTTTTTAAGTCCTGGACTCAAGCTGTTTTTGTAGAGTTAGTCCAGAACTTCAACACCTCCTCTTACATGTTTCCATGCTGTCATGTTTCCACACCGTCGTCTTTCCATGCCGTCATGTTTCCAACTAAGTGAGCAGGCTAAGAAAGCCCACTTCTTTTCTGTTTGGAAATGACAAGACAAAGCAGAAATGAAAATCTTCGATGAGCAGAGAGACTGAAAACTATCCTCACTTGTGAACGGGTGTCAATAGAAATCAAGGACTGGACAAATGACCAGAATCCTTACATTGTTCTTAAAGTCTTAACTGTGACCTACAAACTGAGCTTAAAGAAACTCAGGGTGGGAGGTCTGAGAGAAACCTAAAACAGGGTACCAAAACATTCAATCCAACACTGGATTAACAGTCAATTCCCACACCATGTCACATTTCAGTTTGGGCTTCAGAGGACACAAATATTGTTTGGTTTTATCTTTTACCTTTGTCCATTTGTTTGCAGACATTTTGGGAAGAAGTGAAAAAGTGACTTCAAAAGTAATTCATGGACCTTACAGCACTTTTAGGACACAAAAAAAAGCTCTGTGATGAGGGATCTACACGGAGACTTAGGCATGTCTCAGAATGGAAAGCAACTTGGATGTAGTTGAGCTATTCTGCCAGTATCATGCAGGTCATGGTGGCCATCATCAAACCTTCTACCTCCTCCGGTTGCTTCCTCTTCTTTTTGTCATCAGACTGAGCGGGGTGCAGCCGGAGGGTGATGTTGACACAGGTCATGTTATCACATCCTGTCCCGTCTCCAGATGTCAGGAGCCAAACTGTGGTCCAGCAGCTCTTCCATGATTGATGAGAGGGCACATACTTTGCCAGTCTTGTCTGGTTTGATCCTCTGATGAAGTCCACCACCTCCTGACTTCTTAACACATTCCAGATAACCATGGCGATGACCATGAAGTCGTGGTCCTTGTTAAGTGTTCGAACTTTGACATCTGGCATCAAAGAGAGCAATGTTTTCAACTGAGATATCTCACACTGGCAGCTGCACTCAAATCTTTAGATTGACACCTCATTTGACCAATTCTGACATTACTTTCTTTGTTCACATCCTACAACAGCCAATCAGAGTTTAAAGGAGGTGCCTGCTTCTGTCCTGATGTATCTACATGGTGCCAATTTCAAGCCACTGTGCTGATGACTGACATTTCTTACATATTTTTTGTCATGATGCTTTTGATGTTGTGTGAGTCACTTTGAATTGCCTTGTTGTTGAAATGTGTGACATAAATAAACTTGCCTTGCCTTACACATACTTGTACTCCAAATGGTTCAAGAACATTATTTCATTTAATCTGGGATAGACGTTTTAGGCAACCTTAGCCTCTGGATTTTATGTTTTTAATTACTACAAGAGCACAAAATTGTTAAAAGAGAACTAAGTTTTTCATACATTTAGCCTGTTCATTTCGCACAAAATTGATGCATTTAACTTTAAAATGTGCACACTTTTCTCAGAAGTGCATGCCCCCGGACCCCCCTAGGCAGTTTGGTGTCCCCCCACCATACTCTCATAAAATCCTGTGGGAAACACTGTAGGCTTATGCTTTGAATGAAACTAGATAGAATTATAGTCTATATTTCTGATGATCTGAACTTAAATTGGCTGGTCTGAGCCATGAAACTCCCAGGCTGAAAATGAGTCCCTCTCCGGCCCTGCATATTGATGTTGGAACAAATAGTTCAGCCCCCATGGCGAGTCATTAGGACTATTCCAGCCTGCGACCAAATTTGAGTGTCCCAACATGACTATGAGTGCTCCTTGCTTAAATCCTTAAGTGCAAACAGAGCAGCTGAAGGGTTTCTCTTCGGTGTGAATTCTCACATGTTTGGTCAGAGTCGCTTTCTGTTTAAATGTTTTACCACACACAGAGCAGCTGAAGGGTTTCTCTCCTGTGTGAACCAACATATGTGAGGTCAGATTTCCTTTTTGGTTAAATCTTTTACCACACACAGAGCAGCTGAAGGGTTTCTCTCCTGTGTGAATTCTCAGGTGTCTGCAAAGATTCCGTTTATTGTGGAATGTTTTACCACACTCAGAGCAACAATGGGATTTCTTATTAGTCTTCAGTCTCTTACTTGTGATGTTTTTCACAGAGTTTAAACCTGACTGATGTTCTGTTGTCTCTTTCCAATCAACATCACTGTCCGGAGTCTCAGGTTCAGAAGAGTCTTCGATCTTAACCTCAATCTCTGGTTGTAAATGTCTCTCTGGATCTGAGTCCCTCTCTGGTTCTGCTCCATCAGTTTCTGTCAGTCTTTTGTCCTTAGTTTGGTTTTGATGAAGCTCTGATGCCCCTCTGTGATTTGCCATGTGATGTGTCAGACTTTGCTTAAAGTTAAAGCTTTTACCACAATCAGTGCAGCTGAATAGTTTCTCTCCTGTATGTATTCTCATGTGTTTTAAAAGATATGATTTATCAGTAAATCTTTTATTGCACTCAGAGCAGCTGTAGGGTTTTTCTCTAGTGTGAACCAACATGTGACTAGTCAGGGCCACTTTTTGGTTAAATCTTTTACTGCACTCAGAGCAGCTGAATGGTTTCTCTCCTGTGTGTATTCTTGTGTGTGTGGTCAGAGCACATTTTCTGTTAAATCTTTTACTGCAAAAAGAGCAGCTGAAGGGTTTATATCCTGTGTGCACTAATATGTGTCTGGTAAGATTCCGTTTATTGTGGAATGTTTTACCACACTCAGAGCAGCCATGAGATTTATTATCAGTCTTCAGTCTCATATTAGTGATGTTTATCACAGAGACTAAATCTGAGTCATGTTCTTCTATTGTGTCTTTCCAATCATCACTGTTGTCAGTCTCAGCTTCTGAAGAGTCATCCTTCTTGTCCTGAGTCTCTAATTGTAAATGTCTCACAGGATCAGAGTTTCTAACTGGTTCTGCTCCTCCACAGTCCTCTCTATCAACCCTTGTCTCTGCCAGTCTCTTCTCCTCAGTTTGGTTTAGATGAAGCTCTGATGCCCCTCTGTGATGTGCCATGTGATGTGTCAGATTAAGCTTAAATTTAAATCTTCTCCCACAATCAGTGCAGCTAAAGAGTTTCTCTCCAGTATGTATTTGCATGTGTTTGGTCAGATATGATTTATCAGAAGATGTTTTATTGCACTCAGAGCAGTTGTAGGGTTTCTTTATCGTGTGAACTAACATGTGACCGGCCAAGGCCACTTTTTGGATAAATCTTTTACTGCACTCCGAGCTACTGAATGGTTTCTCTCTTGCGTGAATTCTCAAATGTGTGGCCAGATTTGTCTTCTTTTTAAATGTTTTACCACACACTGAGCACATCAACGGTTTCTCTCCTGTGTGAATTCTCTTATGTGTGGTCAGAGCACATTTTCTATTAAATCGTTTACAGCAAAGAGGGCAGCTGAAGGGTTTCTCTCCTGTGTGCATAAATGTGTGTCTGGTCAGATTCGGTTTCTTATTGAATGTTTTACCACACTCCGAGCAGCTATATGAATTATCATCCGCATTTGTTTTCTTACTTTGAACGTTTTCTACAGATTTCAAATCTTTCCTGCGTTCTCTAGTATCTTTCCAAAAGTCACTGTCAACACTGTCATCAGATCCACAAGAGTCTTCAATCTTGACCTCAGATCCAGAGAGACGTTTACAACCAGAGACTGAGTACCTCTCTGGTTCTGCTCCTCCACAGTCCTCTCCATCAACTCCTGTTTCCATCTGTTCAGTTTGTCTCTGATGAAGCTGTGAGGACTGAGGTTTCTCTTCATCTTCACTCTTCACAGAGACAGGAGTGAAGGGGAACATGGTGGTATCAGCCTCCTTCAGTCCTTGAAGCTGTTCTCCCACCCGACTGATCCACAGTTCCTCCTGTTCCTCTTTGATGTGTGGGGGCTTAGTGTCCTCCAGAAGGAAGCTCCAGTCCTGCTGCTCAGGGCTGAGGTCTCCTTTACTCACCATCAGCTGCTGAATGTCTGCTGGAAGCACGAAAACACAGAAGGACATATCAATGAAAGCTGTTAAACCAAACCTAACACAGTGATACTTATCATTTTAAGTTTTCCCTTAAGTCACAATTAGCACCTGCCAACAGCCAAATAAGGGTGTTTTGTGCAGTGTCAGGTGTATTTTCTCTACCTACAGGCCACTGTGGCAGGTAAATAAAAGTAAAGGAACAGAGTTATTTGTACCACAAAACAAGACCAATTAAATCCCCATCTTCTGCTTGTTCTGCTCTGACTTTACAATCAGAGCCAGGCAGTCCTTCCTCATGTACCTCGAGGGGGTCAGTGTTAACAATGATATGTTATGTACTGAAATGGATTGGCAGTAACTCTAACCCAGCGCAGCATGGATAAGCATTTACATTACAGCGGGTCTACCAGTGACCACTTTCAATTGTAGAAGTCTTTATGCAAGCTTCACCAAGATCAATGATTATTGGCATTAATTTATAGCCCTATCAGAGACATGGTTAAATCAAGAAGGAATAATATTCAAATATAATTCTAATGTTAATAAAGATATTTGAATGCTTAATTGCCATTCGAATGTGTCATTTTGTTATAAAAAAATAATTGGTCAAAATGTTTTGGATAACGAGTGAAACAATTCACAGAACAATTATGTTTTTAGAGTGCATAGCCTACTACGGAACCAACGTCAAAATGGCTTCAAGCTGCAAACAACAGGAGCTTGTCACTTTAAAAAAAGTAGCGTATGGAAAGTTTTTGGATTTCTGTCAACTAACTAATAACAATAAAAGACATTGTCTTCTGCAGAATATGCAAGGTTCGTATGAATATGTAAGTTTTTGAGCCACCTGACCATCACTGGTCAGAAAACTCTATGACACTACTTAAAGGGATACTTCACCCATTTGCATTAAGCTTTGTATCATTTTCCCCTGAGATGGGAAATCTTTGTATTTCCAAGTCTGAAAAGGAGCTTCCAGTGATGCAAAATGACGATTTTTGAGTCACTGGAAGCTGTTGCGGTTAGCGGGGTGAAACTACAACGCAGGTTCCTCATATTTTTGACTGTTGCTGCCAGGAATTTCCAAGATCAATTCTGGAAGAAATCTCTGAATCAGTTGAGGAAATGGTCTTATGTGTTGAAGTAAATGTCTGTAAATGTTTTTATTACTATATTTCTACTGTTACATCAGTATATCAATTCAATTCAATCAATTCCCCTACCATTATATTAGGGGGGCTTTTTGTGCCTTTATTGTAGAGATAGGATAGTGGATAGAGTCGGAAATCAGGTCACATCACTAGCCACGATGCATATTTGACTTCACAACACATTTTATAGACACAGAATGGGAACTTAAAGACATAGTTCTTAAAACAGGCGAAGCACAGAAAACCCACACTGCTGAGAATGTTGCCCAGTGCATCAGCGACATCCACGGGGAGAACATGAGTTTCGAGTCAGTCACCACAGACAACGCTGCTAATTACACTAACGCAGTGGAGAAGCACATACAGGTCTTCAATGTCCCATACATGATTACCCACAAGATTACTGTGGCTGTGAGGAAAGGGCTGGCAGTGCAAGCGATGGAAACTCCAGTCAGCAGACTAAAACTACAGCACTCCATTTCAATATGTGGACAAAAGACTGTTATCTCCTCAAAGCTAAACAGAAGCTGCTCGGTGGGAAACCTGCTAAGCTTATCAATGACTGTCGAGGACATCTGAACAACAAGCTCCGGCAGTCATGGAGAAGAAACTTGCTCATCTCAAGTCGAGTACCACAGAGTGGACCCTTATGGAGCGGGTCAAAGAGGTGCTCAAGCGTTTCACAGTGTCTTATCAACCAAACGATACCCGACAGATTCAGCTCTTCTCCCTTTTAAGTTCACCCTTCTGTCCCGCCTCCAGCCATCCCCTGATGATCTGCCAGCAGTCAGTGAAATGAAAGCAAAGATTTCAACAGATCTTAAGAAGCGATACAGTCATCACAACGAAACCCTCAGGCGAAACCATACAGCTAGCTACATCGACACGCGTTTCCATCGCCTAATTCATTTGGTACGAGACCATCAGCAGGAGGTACGTGAAAAAGTTTAACGGGAGCTGGCTGTGATTGCACGGGGGAAGACGAGGGGGGAGCGTCTGTGGAAACGGAGGGGACACCAAGGCAGGTAAAAGATGCTCTCAGTGCTATGAGGGAACTCTTTGGCAATGAGTATCGCCAGGGAGACTCTTCAGGTGCTACAAGAGGGAGATCCCGCTAGCCCCTAATAGCAACCCATTGCTGTGGTGGAAGACGTCAAGAACCAGGTACCCCCACCTTGCCCAGCTGGCGCAGCGCTACTGAAGCACCCCGAGTACCTCTGTCAGAGCTGAAAGAGTGTTCTCCACTGCTGGGAATATAGTCAATGAAAAACGCTCTGCACTCGATTCAGAAAACATGGATCCGCTTGTTTTTGGCCAACAACCTTTTTTTTAAATTTATTTAACCAGAAAAAAAGTCTCATTGAGATTAAAAATCTCTTTTACAAGAGCGTCCTGGCCAAGACAGGAAGCAGCAAAATTACAGGGTTTCAGACATAAAACACTTAACAATGAACAATAAATACAGGAATCACAAAAAGAACCATTCATCAGAATCTGTCATAAGTCATCAGCAACAAAGCGATCAAAAAGGGCAATACGAGTTAGCTAAAACATCTACAGTCAAATATTTCTGCCTCCAGATCATTAAGACGACCTTTAAAAACATTCAAGGAAACCAGCTCCTGAAGATTTAAAGTATCTTGCAACCGATTCCAAGAAGAGGGAGCAGCATACCTGAACGCCCTTTTTCCTAATTCGGTACGGTCTTTAGGGATGGTTAGAAGGTGTAAATCCTGCGAGCAAAGATGGTAACTTCCATTACTTTTTTGAAGTATGTAGCTCTGTAGGTAGGATGGAAGCAGACCGAGAATACCCTTATAAGCAGTATATCACAGCGTCATCAGCATAAAAGTGGAAATTTGCATTAATAACATTTTGATCAAAACTATTGATATATAAAATGAAGAGTAGTGGTCCCAGGACTGATCCCTGGGGCACGCCTTTGGATACTACAAGGGAGCTAGAAGTGATGCCTTCTGCCTGCACGCACTGAGATCTTCCAGAAAGGTAGCTTTCAAACCAGCAGACTGCTTTGTCTGATAGTCCTATGCTATTAAGTCTTTGCTTCAGTATTGCATGATCCACAGTATCAAAAGCCTTTGATAAATCAATAAAAAAGCACTGCACAGTTGTGTTTGTTGTCTAAAAATTCTATAAAATCATTGACCACTTTTAAAGCCGCTGTAGTTGTGCTGTGTTTTTTCCTAAAGCCAGACTGAAAGTCAGATAAGATATTGTTTGATAGTAGGAAATATTTCAGTTGCTCACTCACAATGGACTCCAGAACCTTAGCCAGGACCGACAATTTGGAGATGGGTCTAAAATTATGTAAGACTGTAGGGTCCCCCCCTTTCAACAAGGGAAGAACAAATGCAGATTTCCATATAAGAGAAATTTCATTTCTGTCCAGGGAGAGATTAAAAAGATGTGTAAAAGGTGGTGCGATAAAATCAGCTGCCAACTTTAAAAAGTAAGGTTCTAAGTTGTCAGGACCTGCGGATTTTTTTGTGTCGAGGAGTTTGAGGGCTTTGAGCACTTCTGAGACTGTAATGACTTGAAAACTGAAGGACTGACTACCTGTAACATGACAGTCAGAAAAAACAGTGGGGGAATTTATATGCCTATTGCTAAAAGAGTCAAACAAGGACCCAGAGGCTATAAAATGTTCATTAAAGACACCAAGCATTTTGGACTTATCAGTGACTTTAAGTGAGTCCTTAACAATGCATGGAGGAAGCTCAATTTCATTTTTATTTCCAGCCAGGGATTTAATTGTCTTCCAGAATTTCAAGAGATTGTTTAGGTTGCTCGAGGTTTCTGTGAGGAAATGATCAGCTTTAGCTTTCCTAATTGCAACTCAGAGCATTGCGCATTTGCCTGTAAAGCAGCCAGTCCAAATCCAGACCTGATCTCCTGGCTTTTGCCCATGCTATATTTCACTCATGAAGTGAGTTAGATAACTCTGGAGTGAACCATACATTATTTCGGCCTTTAACTCTGTACTTTCTGAGGGGAGCATGCTTGGCCACAATTTTAGTGAAACCATCATAAAATAATTTCCATGCACTTTCAACATCAGGAATATGATGCATTTTCTGCGAGTCAAAATTAAACAAGTCATGAAAAAAACCCTTGTTCATTAAAATGTTTCATGTCATGCTTTATAATGATGCTTGGCTTGGTTTTGGGGATTTTTGTATTTCTCACTGAGGCAATAACACAGTGGTCACTAATGTCATTTGCAAAAACAGAAGCGGTTGTGTATTTATGAGGAGTGTTTGTTAGAATAAAATCTATTAGAGATGATTTTTCTGGACATTTAAGATTGGGTCTAGTGGGGCTATCGACAATCTGAAAGAGGTTTAGTAACAGTAAGCTTTAAAATCATCAGATACTGGTTTTAACCAGTTCCAGTTAAAATCTCCAAGAATGACAATTTCATTAAACTTCAATTCTGTTAAAAGCTGCATCAGGGTAGATAGTGCACTGCTGACAGCTGAAGGTGTCCTATAGCAACCAACAACAGTTATATGGAGAGATTTCGATATCTCAAGATCAAGAGCCAACAATTCAAACTGCTTACTCTCTGACTTGGAGAGAAGCACATTTGCATGAAACTTGATTTTTATAAAAATTGCAATACCCTCTCCCCTTTTGGGCCGGTCAGTCCTAAATATATAACCATTGATACTAATATCCTTGTTCAGAACAGATTTACTCAACCAAGTTTCAGATAGAACAATTACATCAGCATCTGTTGAGTTCGCCCAGATACGAATCATGTCCATTTTAGCTATTAAACTGCGTACATTCAGATGGATGAAACCAAGACCAGACCTTGATTTAAAGTC